CCCTCCCTCGTGGACAGACAGACCAGGGCTGCCCCTCTGCCCGCCCTCCCTCGTAGACAGACAGACCAGGGCTGCCCCTCTGCCCGCCCTCCCTCATGGGCAGACAGACCAGCAAAGGGGCTTTCTGTCCCTCCCTCCTCCCATCAGATGCGGTCGCGAAGCAGAGATGGGAAGTGCCCAGTGTCTGGCGCCGCACCAGGTGCTGTGGGTGTGGCAGCTTCTCCTGCAGAGGAGGAGAAGCTTCTGGCTTCAGAGGATAAACACCAGCAAACAGGTAACAATCTGAAATAGTAGGAAGTTATAAAAAAGAGCATGGAAGAAAGAGGGAAGAAGGAAGGGAGAAAAATGCTGACAGAGGTGAGAGGGTGAGGTGGAGAGGACCTCCATCCGACAGGGTGGCTGCAGAAGTCATCTCTGAGGATGTTATTTGAACTGAAACTTCAGCATGGGCGCAGCCACGTCAGCAGTGATGCAGGCGAAGAAAGGAGAAGGCTCAGAACTAGGGCATAGAGATGAGGGTGGAGACTGAAGTCCTGGCTTCCTAGGAAAATCATCTTTTTTAGAAATCACCTGTTTCATCCTGCCATCGCATTCCCAGTGACGAACATTTCTGTCAGAGCATTTAAAAGTACCATTGGAAACGTGGCCTTGAGCTTGGGGCCGTGTGTAGCCTCAAATCAACTCTTTCCTCCATTGAGCAAAGACTGACCACGTGCCGGCCATGCCGAGAGCATCGTTTTATGCGGAACAGGTACACCTACTGCCGTGGACAAAGTAAGCTCCTCTTACTTGGCTTATTGAAGATGTACCTTCAGCCTACTTGGAAAAAGAAATAGTCAATTTATAAAGACAGATGCAATACAAAACAAAGCTTTAAATATGAGCACAACACCCTCTTCCACTTTGGGAGCTGAGAATGACAGCTGTTAATCCAGAGCTTTTTTGCTACACGTGTGAACGGGGGCACCTCAGAGGTGACGCTGTGCTGACAGCCCAGGGTGACCCCCTCACAATGTACATGCATTGGGCATCTCAGAGGTGACTCTGTGCTGACAGCCAGGTGTGCTGCCCTCACCGTGCCCAAGTAGGCAGTGAACACCTCAGGGGTGACTTGTCCTGGTCACAGGAGGTCTCTCCTTACTGTGCACAGGCTGGGGGGACCCAGGTGTGTGCAAGGTGCAGTGTTTATACCATGGGGAAGACCTGAAGGTCCATCCAGCTCCCCATTCCTGTCCTCAGAAACTCACGGGGGCCCAGTGGCAGTGGAGCCGGAAGCTGCTCGTGTGCTGGGATGCAAACGCAGGGTGACTCCGAACCTGACTTTGCTCCTTGTTCTGTTAGGCTTCTGTCAATAACTGTTTGAACAATTCCTCGTAGATGTCTTTGGATATATTTACGTCTGTACCTTCTCTTTTGGCAATGAGTTCCATAATTTTACTCTTCATTATATAAATTACTTTCTTTAATTTGCCCTCAGTATAAATCAGACCAGTTTAAATGTGGCTCAGAGGTTCTCTCATTGTCCATGTGGTGCTGGGATCTGACACCTTCAAGGTGAAGGAGGAGACTTGTTTTCTCTCAAAATGAATGCATGTACTCTTTTATTTTTAATTGTGATAAAACGTGTGTAACATAAAAGTACCATTTTAACCACTTTCAAAGTACAGCCTGTGGCATTAAGTAAATTCACAATTTCGTACGAGCATCATCAGCACCATCCAACTGCAGAACTTTTCATCATCCTGACCACAATCTCTGACCCGGTAAACACTTACTTATCATTTCTCTCTTCCCTA